TGAAATCCAAGCCTAATAAGATTTTATAGAATATAAATGTAACTGTTCTTTTCAAAGGAGTCATGTTACATCAGACTATTTTTCTTTTTAATCCTAACTTTTGAAGGGTAAAAAGCAAAACAATACCAAACAAAAATACTAAAGAAATAAAAACTCAGAGGTCTAAGTTTGACCTGTATTAATACATTGGTTCTATGCTATAGCAGAGTATGTTTCAGGATCACAGAAATAGAAGTAACCTTATCGTGTTTTAACATATTCCTTCTGCACTGGTCTCACTTAAGGGGCTGGAGGCTCATTACCTTATAACTCAGACCATCCTTACCTGTAAGGGAGTGAAATATTTAATATGCTTTTCTTTAAAAGCAAAAGGAGGGTACTTGAGTCAGTATTATTTTTTCATTCCATAAGTTAATAAACTCCAAACTTCTATAGTTAAATTTTCAAAAGAAATCAACAATATAACACAGCTAATAACCTTGGCGGGGTATTATTTGTGAAGCAAAGTCTTTCCTTTGTGTATCTTTGTCTCTGCTTTATAACTGAATCTTCCAAGTGAAAATGCATGGAGCCACTTAATTGAAGAAAGAAAATTCCTACCCTAAAACCAATGTGTGCCTCCTTCCAATTATTGGACCACAATCTCAATCTGGCCCCCAAAGTTTACTTCATTGTCACATTTATCATTATTATCAACATCCAGAAGCATTTTTTTTAATTGAAGTAACACTGGTTTATAACATTATATAAATTTTAGGTGTACGTTATTATATTTCAACTTCTGTGTATGCTACCTCATGTTCACCACCAAAAGTGTAGTTTCCATCGTCACTGTAAAAATGTTCCCCATTACCCCTTTCACTTCTCCCCACCCTCCTTCCCCTCTTGTAACCAACAATCTGTTCTCCATATTTATGTGTTTGTTTGTTGTTTTTATCTTTCACAAATCATATGGTATTTGTCTTTCTCCATCTGACTTACTTTGCTTAGCAAGACACCCTCTAGGTCCATCCATGTTGCCACAAGAGGCAAGGTTTCATCTTTTTCTATGGCTGAATAGTATCCCATCGTATATTTATACCACATCTTCTTTATCCATTCATCCATTGATGGGCACTTAGGTCGTTTCCATGTCTTGGCTATTGAAAACAATTCTGCAATGAACATGTGGGTGAATATATGTTTTCAAACTAGTGTTTTCGTATTCTTTGGATAATCATACATCTTATAAGAGGCTAATATCCAAAATATATAAAAAACTCAACAATGAAAAAACAAAGAACCCTGTTAAAAAATGGGCACAGGACCTGAACTGACATTTTTGCCAAGAAGATGTACAGATGGCCAACAGGCACATTCAAAGATGTTCAACATTACTAATTATTAGGGAAATGTAAATCAAAACCACAAAGAAGTATCCCCTCACACCCATCAAAATGGCTATTATTAAAAAGACAAGAAATAACAAGTGTTGGAGAGGGTGTGGAGAAAAGGGAACTCTCATACACTGCTGGTTGGAATGCACACTGATGCAGCCACTGTGGAAAACAGCATGGAGATTTCTCGAAAAATTAGGAATAAAACTATGATGTGATCCAACTATTCTAGAAGGCTTTGTTACTTGCTTTTCTTCCCGTTTTCTTCTGGTGGCCACTCTACAACCAAAAGCTCAAAGAATGTTGTCCTCATCTCTCTAGAAAATAACAATGAAATTAAAACAATATTTAATGAATGATTACCATATGTCAGAAATGATTCTAAAATTTTGCGCGTCTTACGTCCTTTAATACTTACAACAATTCAATAAGGTAGGACCCTTTACTTTCCCCGTATTTCAGAGGAAGAAACTGAGGCTTAGAGAGCAATAGTGACTTGCTCATGATCATAGAGTTAGTGAGGAGCCAGAATTGCATCTGGAGCAAGTTTTCTTTATTACTGCAAAAGACCCTACCCAAACAGACAAGTAAGGCATAGAAAAAGGAAACATATAAAGACATGAGAAAGTGCTTTAAGAAATAAATATATATAGTTTACCTAAAATGTTAAAAGCATGTTTTGTGTATTGTAGAGAGAATGGAGGTTTGAGAATCGCTTGTTCAGAAAATGAGATAGAGGATTATAAAGCCAGCTTTATACTTTATAGCATGTCCAGATTTGAGAATGCACAGAAGAGACTACCGGGCACATTTTCGGTGGAGGATGAGGCATTGTCTAATGGTACATATGGGGATTATTTGATTATAAGAGGGTGTGCGCATTTGATGAATTTTCTATTGACGAAGCTATTTTATAACTCAGTAGGGGTAAAGATTAACCTGTAGAAAACTAATAGCAAATGATTTTTGTCCATAGTGATGCAAACAAGTTTTGTCCAGTAGAGAAACAATTTTCATCCCATAAAAGGATAACCCCAAATATTACATTTTATTTTCAAATGTTAGAAACATTACTTTTTAAATTTTATATTAACAAGTTTTGCATCTGCTAGCAAATTCATTTCAGTATTCTTGACTGTCTCTATATATTCAGTATTCTTGACTGCCTATTTATTTACATATATATATTTATATATATAAATATAAAGATGCTAATACTAGTTTGAAAAAGAATTTGAAAAACAAATATATATATATATATTTGAAAATTCTTTTTTGAACTAGTCTTGGCATCTTACTGAATCTCTAATTAATAGGTAGAATAAAATCTTTGGCACATGTTCATTTATTATTTGCATTGGAGTTATGCTTACAATTTTTTGAAAATTACACTTTGGTAAGCATTATGAGGTTAAAACACAGAGAAAAAGACAGCAAGGTGACCGAATTTTACTGAGTGCCTGTTATGAGTCCAGGATTGGCTAAGCCCCTTTCGTACATTAGCCGTCTTAATTCTCACCCATAACCCCACATGATAGCTATTAATTTTCCCAATTTACAAATGATGAGAATGATTAAATAATAACTCCAATGTCCTGTCCTCCAGCTAGTAAGTGGGGGAGCCAGGGTCTGAAACTAAGTCTGTCTGACTCCAGAACCCTTGTTTCTTCTCTAGGATCAAGACACTATGTAAAAAATAAACAAAAAGCTTAAATCAATGATTAGTAAATGATTGCTATGTAACCCAGGGTAGAAATGCTCTTTTACAGTGAAAGATAAAAAACCAAAAAGATGGCTGATATTTTCATTGACAAGGGCCATAGATAATGATGATACTGCTCTTATAAAGGAAACACTGGAAATCAACTTGGATCTTCTGGAAACCAAACTGCGTTGTATCACCATTGTCTGGACTGTTCCTTCATTTAGTATCCTCTTCTGTCTTCAACAATTTTCCAGTTAAGTCTATCCAGGATTAACTCCAGTAAATTCTACCTAAAAATTGATAGGACAGCCTCTTTAGGCAAAAGGAAACTGAAATTTTAAAAATTGAATTTTATTAGAAAATAAATCATGATTGATGTGTAGCATAGTAGAAAGAGTGTGGGTTGTTCTTTGACAGACCTGCGTTGGAATTCCAGTTCTAACACTGATGGCCTGAGTGAATGTGGACATGTTATTTAAAACTTTGAAACTTTACTGCTATATCTGAAAAATTGGCATGAGAAGTCCTATTTGGATTTTATTTATTTTATTATTATTGTTATTATTTTTTGAGGAAGATTAGCCCTGAGCTAACATCTGCTGCCAATCCTCCTCTTTTTGCTGAGGAAGATTGGCCCTGAGCTAACACCTGTGCCCATCTTCCTCTATTATTTATTTATTTATTTATTTTTCTTCTTCTCCCCAGAGCACCCCAAATACATAGTTGTGTATTTTAGTTGTGAGTCCTTCTAGTTGTGGCAAGTGGGATGCCACCTCAGCGTGGCTTGATGAGCAGTGCGAGGTCTGGGCCTAGAATCTGAACCGGCGAAACCCTGGGCCACTGAAGTGGAGCACGTGAACTTAACCACTCGGCCGGCCCCCTTATTTGGATTTTAGATGAACTGAATATAAAACACTCACAAATATGCAGAAAGCATTCAATAAATGGCGGTTACATGCGTCAGTTTGGAGTGACATCTAGCCTTCAGAAAGGACAGCATTGTATGTTTATTTCCTTTTCCTTCTTGAAAAACTTTCAAGAGTTCAGCAAAAATGTCGTTGAACAAAGAGATATATAATTATGCATACTGATATATTAGTAAAATATTTTTGTTTTCTTTGGGAAACTACACTTAAAAGTCTAGTTTCTGTATATGAAAATTTAAGCTTATATAATTCTACAAGGAGACACATTTATTTAAAATTACAAATTACAGTATATACCTCTTAGTTCTCAAATACTTTTCAAATTTTAGCAAATGTTTTTCTGCCAAGCTAATTTAAGAGTTTAATACTAATCGAGTGTGTTTCCTACTGTAATTATTTTAGTTCCAGGAAAGAGAAAATGTTATTGAGAAATTATGATCAGTTTTATGCATACATTAGTTATGTTTATAATGATACTTTCAACTGGTAATATATATTCATACAGATGGGTCTTGTGTGAGTGGATATTTCACTTAGTTATTTTCATTTTTAAAGTAATTGCAGGATATTTTTTCGTAGCTTAGCTTGAGCTTCAAAAGATTTTGACCACCTAATGACATTCTAAAAAACAAAATTCTTGCTATCAAGCAGTCCATTAATTCATATTTGGCAGATGGAAAGGCAGATTTAAGCATATGTGGATTGTGTCTGTGGAGTGGAAGTAAGAGGGCAAATGTATTTCACAGGTCTCACAACATTCTAGAATGCAATTTGTTAGTACTCTCTACTCTGCAAACCAGCAAAGAGGAAGTGAGTTCTGTCAGTACCAATTAAATGTTATTTCACATGGTTATTTCTCACAATGCCAAAAGTAGGATTAAATTCAATGACACTATGTGTAAGCTATTTATTTGACACGTTTTTAATATCCTTAGTTAACTTTTTCATGGTATATGTAAACAACATTTTTATTGTTGTGGTTTTCGATCTAAGGTAATCCCTAGGTCTCCAGGCCTAATCAAACCGAAGGAACAGTGAAGAGAGATATATTATAACAAAATTCATCATTTTGGAGCCCCAACAGGTAAACCATTGAGATGCCACTTCTTCCAAGTCTCCCTTGTTCCCCTCGCAGAGTCCCAGGAGAGTCCCAAAGCTTCCTGGTGAATGTGAAAATACCTGGATGCTGCCCTTTGCCTTGCAGCCTGGTCACTGCAATCTGCAATCCTGTCGTCCTTGTTGCTTACACCGCGGTGTCCACCTGTGCTGTTGCCCTGGGAGTTGACCTCTCTGTCACTGTCCAGTTGCTCACTTTGAATTCACAGTTCCTTCTGCAATTACCTCTGCTTCCCCTTCTCCTCCTTCTCTCCCCTTCAACGGCCATCTGTACCTTTCCTGTTCTTGCTCCCCTCTTTCTTCTTCCTCTTTCTCCTCCTCACTTTCATTCTTCTTTTTGAAAACTGGTCTTTAATGCGTGAAGGAGAAAAGATAGAGATAATCACGAAGTCACGTCAGTTGTAAAAATAAGTGTTTTGAAACAGGCAGAAAGTAATTTCATATTTTTTGAGGTACAAGTACAGCGGCATAAATGTTTATGAAACAGCTGCTTCCTGCAGAGGCCGAGTAGACAAAATGAAGTTGGGATCACTAACACAGCTTCCAGAAATTTCTCCTGAGCATCACCGACTAAGAATAATAATATGCACTAATGAGTAACTTAGATCAGAACCTCCGCAAGAGTCAGTTCCCAGCAGCTCAAGATTTTAAAGCTCAAAACTAGGAGCAAGTGAGTGTTCAGTTTGTTCTGGTTTGAGGTGGTGATGGGTTTGATGCTGAAATTGATGGTGGCATTTGAACGTCTCCCAGGTGCTGACCATGTTAATGGAAGGACCAGTCCCCAAGATCCCACTAGTCTTTACGTTGATGATCTCCAGACTTTAGGGTCGTCTGATGCTCATTCTCTTTATTTTCCCTGAGAAAGACTCATGGGAAAAATATCCCATAAATTCTTGCATTTCATGACAAGGTTTTCATGGTCTGAGGTTTTTATGCTTAAAGATCAGTTGGACTGGGATCTTAAATTTATGGATCTTATTTTATTTTCTTCAGTATTTAAAATGTGTTACTCCATTGACTTCCAGCACCAAGTGTTGCTTTAGAAAAGTCTAGTAATAGGGGCCGGTCTGGTGGCACAGCGGTTAAGTTTGCATGTTCCGCTTTGGTGACCCGGGGTTTGCCAGTTCGAATCCTGGGCGAGGACCTACACGCTGCTTGGCAAGCCATGCTGTGGCAGTTGTCCCCACATATAAAATAGAGGAAGATGGGCACACAGGTTAGCTCAGGGCCAGTCTTCCTCGGCAAAAAGAGGAGGATTGGCAGCAGATGTTAGCTCAGGCCTAATCCTCCTCAAAAAAGAAAAAAAGGAAAAGAAGTCTAATAATAATCTGGTTTCCTTTCCCTTTAAGAGACTTGATCTTTTTGCTGGGAAGCAAAAAATATCTTTAAAGCCTAAAGGTTTTATGAGAATATATCTTGGTATTGTCTTTATAGGTTGATTTCTGGGTAAGTAGTTTCAGGTTTTTCATTTCTGGAAATTTTTCTTGAGTTATTGTTTTAAGCATATTTTATATTCCATTGCTGTAGGTTTTCTTTTTGGCAATTGTTATATGTCTATTGAATTTTCTTAATTTATCTTCTTTATTTATCATGATATGTCAAATCCTTTTCATTTTTTCTTCATTTCTTTTGCTTTTAAATATTTTTCTTCTTTCCATCTTTTATTTTCCTGAAGGCATCATCCATTGTGTTTATTGGCTCTTGTATACCTTATATTTTAGGGGTGTTTTTTGTTTCTGATGTAATCTTTTATTTTACTTTCAATGCTTGTGTAAGTGCTGTCACCCATCTTTTTATATCTTCCTTTTTCCCAAACGTCTTATTTTTAAGATTTTCTAACTTACAATCTGTTTTTTTTTTTTTTTTTTTTTTTGAGGAAGATTAGCCCTGAGCTAACTACTGCCAATCCTCCTCTTTGTGCTGAGGAAGGCTGGCCCTGAGCTAACATCCGTGCCCATCTTCCTCTACTTTATATGTGGGATGCCTACCACAGCATGGTGTGCCAAGCAGTGCCATGTCCACACCTGGGATCCGAACTGACGAACCCTGTGCCGCTAAGAAGCGGAATGTGCGAACTTAACTGCTGCACCACCGGGCTGGCCCCAATATGTTCTTTTATAGTTTCCACATTTCTTATTTTCTTTTAGCTAATTTTGAAATATTGAATTATGGTTTTTATTTCCTTTGTAGGCATGACTTACTACCTGGCTTTCATTTTTTATAGGAACATTCTAATTATTTTATAATTTACAAGTGAAAATTGGGAGTATAAACAGCTTTTATCTTGTTCATTTTCTAAATAAAATGAATGCTTGAATGCATTTTCAGAAAGACAAGGTCCGTCATGATTTCTTTTCTAGCTCAGGGCTCCAGGGCTTCCTTTTCACAAAGTGATGAAAATAAATGGCCTTTCATTTTCTGAGAATTTCTCATTGTTTCATTTTGCTTAAAGTGAGGTTGAGTATCTTCTTATAGACTTTCCACTTCTCTAGTTCCTTACTTTACATTGAAATTTATAGTATTTACCATTTTCTGGTTATTTTATAAACACAAGTAAAATATAGTTTTATTTGTTTTTCATATTGGTCTATAAGAGTCTTTGAACTATGTATAAAATCCACACATTTCTACATACATGTGCTCCATCAAAATTTATATTATTGCCCAAAAAAGAGGTTACCTTTTGAACTTTTAAACTAAAATTAAATTTAAAAGAAACAGCATTCATAATAATTTTACATTTTTAAACGACAACGTAATGAACTTCTAACATCTGTAGTATTCTTCCATGAATTGGTTGAAAAAAATTCAAATCAATTTTAGAAGCAAGCTATATTTTATCTGAAACGTTTAGTAACACGTATGCAAACAGGAACATTAAACTGTGAAGTTATTTTAATACTGGATCCAACATGTTAACAGCTACTGCTTATCTATTCAATGGAGCATAAGAAAACTTGAGTTTGAAACTGAGTGAGTTAATTTAAAAGAAAAATCATTTGATCTAAATGAAAAGTCATGCTTCACTGAAAAGATGAAAATGCTTCGGTATGAAATACACTTCCTGTGGCTTCTTTATTAAAATGTAGTCTTCAGCATGGTCTGCTTAAAATAACCTCTAACTTGGGAAAATATGCTAATAATTCTTTGGTAAATTTCTGCATTTTGATTTTCATGTAGTCATGATATACTTAAGGCCCTATAGTGAATACCATATATCCATAAACATTTTGGGAAAATTCTATGTCCATCATCAACCTTTGGGATACATAAAATCTGTATTTAATTTTTCATTAGCATAAGCATTCATATTTTTGAGTTCATTGTTGTCAAAAGGGTTTATTTGCAAAAAATAAAAGTTATATATTTCCACCATACAATAAATGACAGAATCATTCAAATAAGGGCATTCCAACGAATGTCTATAGAGTCTACAGTACAACTACTCTGACTGTCTCTATATCTTACAAACACATTCCATGATTTCCCATAGGGCCCAAGGATCACATCAACTGGCAGCTTTGTACATCTTTCAAGCCAAGGCGTGGTCCACCAACTGGTGGTCTGGCAGCATGGTGTATCTCATAGGCAAAAACATGAGAAACAGCAAAGCTGGCTGATATACAAATGGCTTGCAAAAACACCCAGTTTCAGATGCTTCTCTCACCACCCCAGGAGGCTGGAAAGAGCCTTTAGCCACTCCTCTCAGTAAATACTCTACTTGTTTTCTTAGAATGTGTGTTATTAGTTACACTGTATCTAGGAAAAATCAGGCAAAGCTAGTTTAACTCAATTCATTACACATGCATCTCACACAACATTGGACAGACCATGGAAGATTCTGGAACCACAAGAGATACCACATCCATACTTAATTTAACCTAACTATTGGAAATCGTTGAAAAAAACAAACCTAGCAAACAAACAGCATGCTTCCCAAACCAGACAAAACACAAGGACAACGGGTATAAGCTGGGACGTTCATTCATGAACATTTTGTGTGGTCGTCCTATCACATATCTACTTCCTCTACATGCATGGCTTTGTTTCTGGGCTTCCTACTCTCTTCTGGACTCTTGCCTGAGCCAACAGCTTAAAAGAAGCTGCCATTGTGTCTGTTCTGTCCGGGAGTCCAGCTGCCCCGGGCTTCTGTCCTGATTCCTGTTAGGACTCTGGTTTATAGAAATGTCGATCTTGGTTTTGAGCACAAGTGAATTTTCGGTTTTCTCTTTTTATATTTTATCAATCACTACTAAGTGTTTGGGGTGTAGTGCGTATCTCAGAGTACACTTATTTGCCTTCTTGAGCAGGACTCTCAAAGATTTTTTTCAGCGAAAATCCTTATTTTTTCCCATTCTCTAATATCAAAAATGCAAAAGAATAAAACATCTCATGTATATTAATATAACTTTATCAAATAAAATCACTTACCAAATCCTCATCTTTAATCAGCAAAGACTTTTTTAGAGGTTCTAACATTAAAAATGAAACAAAATTTCAAAAAATTGATTTGAAAGAATTATAGTAAAATGGAAATAAATTTGATTTTGACCATTTCCATTCATATATTTAGTTTTTATTGTAAAAAATTTCTTTTGGAATAGCAATAATTCTGGTTGTAGCAAAGCTAAACTGTAAATTTTCTTACCAGCATCTAACTAGAAATTTACTTTCTCTTCTTACTTCACACCAAGCATCTATTTCTTCTATGATCATATTAAAAATATTAAATATTGAAACTATTATGTGGACTAATGAACATAGGGTTAGCTGAGCAAAATAAGAAATGGAAATTAAATTGTTAACAAATTGTGTTTTACTCTGCTATACTTTCTTGAAGAACTTCTTTATGGAATACCTCTGAGTAGAGTGCTTATGAATTTGAATAATTTGTGTTGTACAAAGAAGACCATATTAGATAGATTTTTAATAATAAAATCCACATTTATGTTTTTTGGGCTGCTCATGGCTCTCCTGGCGCTGCTGCTGGACCTCAAGGAACTGGTCCGGTTCCTGTCCATCAGTACACTGCTGGACTATAGCTTTGTGGCCACCAGCATTATTGTGCTATGCTTCCCCCCTACACCATTTGTTGAAGAAATTGTCCTTTCCACATTCTATTAATTGTGGAAAAAATTTGCAAATAACCATTCAGTTTGTGGATTTTTGAAAATACTATATTTTTGATATATCTTGGAGATATTAAAACAAGCTATAGATTTTGAAGGATTTGTAAGTATATCACTTGGTTGTAATAAATCAGCTCAGTCTCTCATATAGTTAAATAAAATAGTAACTATTATCACTGAATAGTAGAATTTGATGTGATATAAAGGCATTCTCATTGATTATCTAGTGTGAGTAATATCATGAATTGGGAATGCTCAGGTTAATAGCAGTTATTCTAGTTTGAAAATAGTGCTCTGGATATGATAAATGATAGGAAGATAGTAAATGGAGAGATGCAACCAATTATGGAAGGCCTTGAATGCTAGACAAAAGGCTTTGAGCTTTATTCCATGGACCAAGGGGAGGAAGAAAGATTTTTATTTAAGGGGATATCATGATCAGATTTGTGCTTCAATGAAATAAATATGTTGGAAAAGCAAGTTGAGAGACCATCTAGAAAGCCAGTGTTCTAAGAGAGGTAATGAGAATGGTTTGTGAAAATAAAGAAGGAATAGATAGAAAAATATTATGGAGTTAAAATGAGGAAGTGAACGAGAGTTCTAATAAAAAGAATGTTAAAAAAAGAAGAAAATACTGATTTTTGAGTCTGGGTTGTAGAAAGGTAATGGTGTCAACAAGAGAAATCAGTAACATACAAATAAGTAGAGTTAGAGAATGAAGATGATGGGTTCAGTGATGAACACGTTTAATTTGTGGTACTGGTGAGACATACAGGTGATTGCCATTAGGCTGCTGGAAATGTGACTGCTATTTGTGTCTTCAAATGAACACTACAAAAGCAATCCAAAGCTTCCCTTGAAATCCAGAAGAAAATTACATTAGCATCACTGTTGGGAAACGTAATCAAAATGTAATTTACAAAATACATATTTTGTGATGCTCTTTGCATTCTTCTTTAAATTCTAATACAAAGGTATCACTGTTTATTCACTAAGTATTTCAGCAAGCTTGATAGTCTAGTTGAGATTCAGCACGTGTACCACCATAGCCTGGTTTCATTGCCAGGCCTGGGGACTGTTTAAATCCAAGAACTATCACAATGCCTGGAATGGTACATTCTCATGGATGAGGTTGAAAGGATCAATGAATGGATCAATGGCTCAATGAGCACATTTTTGATCTTTCGAAACTTTGGAAGTAATTTTTTCCCCTCTTTTGGTATACCATTGGAACAGAATTTGATGGGAATAAATGATGAAAATTTGGAAAAAAATTACATTGCTTGAATATGACTAGAACACTCTTGTTTTTGCAGATGGAAGCACAGAGGCATTTACAGTTAATCCACAGATTCGTGAAGCTGCAATTTTTAAAAATTTCCTTACTTCATGACTATATGAAACATAGAGGAATGAATGGTATGTGTTATATGTTCCTTAGTAAAATATGAAGCCACAATTATTATTAGAATTAAACATTTCTTCACAATAATCGCTGATGTCATTCATGTCCATCCACATAGGGTAATTGTTTAGTTGCCAATGACAACTGGGGAAAGATGTCACCTTTTTTTTTTAAGATTTTATGATTTAAATACATTTATGCCTGATTGCAGGAGGATGTCAGTTGTAGTCAGTCTTTTGTATTCTTTGAGTCTCTAGTCCATCCTGCTTTTTAGTCAGTAGAGTCCATTGTTAATGCTTGAGTATGACATCATAAAGCTGATTGTAAACCTCATGATCTTCTAAAAAGCAGTTGCAAATCAAGAGAAGAAAATGGTGATCATTTATAAGGTTTGATGTTGTACCAAATTCTTTCTAGTATTGTGAGAGTCTTATGGGTTGAGTTGTGTCCCCCCCACAAAGGATATTTTGAAGTCCTAACCCCCAGTACCTCAGAAGATGACCTTATTACCAAATAGGATCATTGTAGGCATAATTAGTTAAACTGAGGATACACTGGAGTAGGAAGGGCTCCTAATCCAAAATGGCTGATGTCCTTAGAAGAAGAAGGCCATGCGAAGACAGAGACACACAAGGAGAACGCCATGTGATGATGAAGGTGGAGATTGGAGATACGCAGCTGCAAGCCAAGGAATGCCAGAGATTGCTGGCAAACCACCAGAGGCTAGTAAGAGGCAGGGAAAGATTCCCAGCAGATTTCAGGGAGAGCATGGCCTTGCTGACACCTTAATCATGGACTTCTAGCCTCCAGAACCGTGAAACAATCCATTTGTGTTGTTTTGGGCACCTAGTTTGTGGTGCTTTATTATGGCAACCCTAGGAATCTAAGACAGAGAATAAAATACATTGTGGGATATGTCACACTATTGTTTTTAGTCCCTTGAATGTCTCCATCGCATTTTCATTGAGGTGACAGACAAATATTGGTAGCCAGAAACTTGTACTTTCAGAATTTCCTGTATTTTGGGAAACTTTGATTCAAATACAAGGTTAGTATTCTAACAATGCCACTTGACATTTATTTCCAGATATTTCTTGTCAGCCTCATCTTCTGTTTGTTTTTAAAAGGTGCAACTGCTGTTAAGAACTACATACCAAGCCATGATTTCTATGAGTCGTTTAATGCCATTGGAGACTAGGCCCAAGGAAATGGCATATCAAATTCACTTTAAGTTCAAGCAGCTCAGTGATAGTTTTTGAAAGGAATGACTGGGTGGAGTTTTCTGGGATAATGAGAACCCATCATATATTATGAAAAATGACATATGTATTACTTTTCATACTCGTTAGTTATTATATAAAGTCTTTTGACGTGAAAAATCTGGTCATTAATTCTTCCCTTGCTTGAATTTTGAGATATATTAATTAATTTTTATTTCCTTGGGCTATGCAAGTTTAAGTAATTGTTTTTGGGGAATTTTCTTTCAAGTTATTCTTATAGAGCACCACAATATCCATTGAACATTTCCCTTACATTTAAATTTCTAAAAATGCATAAATATGAACCTTAATTTCACAGATTTCCTATTGGAGATAGGAATATTAAAGACATCAATAATCAACTAGTTAATAAACAATAAATATTATTTATCCTTTTAACATATTTTAACACCTGTTCTAAACTGTTTTATGTAAAAGATTTCTATTTCCCTGTGGCTCTATTTTCTTGTCCTCTGCTAGATTTAGAAGAAAAATAACTACATGTATTTCTCTAAATAAACTGGAAATTTTTAAAATCCCTGTTCCACTGAAAACATACTCTTGCCTACAATTATTTCTAGCTAGATATTTGATGCTATTACAGAGATCATAAATATTGAGTTAGTTCCTTCAATTCCTCTATCTTTGTAGACAGAGAATTTTAAAGAATTTGGAAACACACAAAGTTGTAGAAACTGTGACATCATGTTCTCTTAAGACCATTGATCACTCTTCTTACGTAAATAAGAAAAATGCGTTGAATAATGGTTCCTTTCCATATTTTGTGTATGTGTGTCTGTGTGTGTGTGAATGACTGATGTGTACAGCTTTTCACTCACACAAAAGCACTGAATGAAATATCCTTTTTTTAGAAAGGAAAGTACCAATGATTTTGATGCATTTTGAAGGTCAGTAATGTTCGGTATAGAGCAATATGTGGAGAACAATAGCTCCTTAGAGAGTGGAAAACATGGTACTCTCATTATCCATAATCTCAGCTGGTCACCATAGTAACAGCGTTTTATTTTCCAAGATGTAAGCCTTTATACTTCTGTAGAAGTCACTTCCTAGGCCTCCAGACACATCAGCGGCATCTAGTGGCTGAGACCTCAGCTGAAATTGTTGCGCTTGACCTCCTGCTGTCTTATGTTGACAAGATGATGGCATGCACATGTGGCTAACTATGCCTATAGTTTTCACCTATCATAATGGGTGACGATAATTTTTCAGAGAAAGATTTGTTGGTGGCCCACAAAAAAGGGTAAAATGTAAGCAAAAGAAAGTTGTATACTAGTACTCCTATTAAAAAGAATTTTGCACGGGGCTTGGGGAGTGGTGGAGACATTGTGTTTCTCCCACACGGAAGGAAGTGGGAAAGGTGCAGTTTGCAGAGATGACAAAATGGTTGCTTGGAGAATATATAGAACTACTTTCTGGAGTTCCTAGGGGGCACACTTGTTAAAGATTCAAGGAGATTACTAACGAATTCTGAGAGTAATTAACTCATGTTTACCCACTTTCATTTTCTGATCATGTCTATTTCTCCTTTACTATGCAGTTTGTAGAAACTAATGGAATAGAGGTTATTATGTATTTCAGATACTTACCAGAGTCAAACCTAATTTGGATATTGAGTAGGACAACTCAGAAATTCTATCTAGTCTCCAGGGACGTAGTATGAGATTCTGGAAAAGCCATGGACACTGAATTGAGACTCAAATGTAGTCTTGATTCTACCATGTTATAGACACGTATTCTTGAGCAAAAGCTACAGCTATGCCTCTCAATCTTGGCTGCATGTTAGGAAAAACAGTCAGTACCCAAACTCCATCCCAGACCAGGTGAAGCGAAATTTCTGGGAGTAGAGCCTGAGCATAACTTGAAAAAATATTCTGAGCTACCACCCCACAGAATCTCCTGAGAAGCTTTGTAACAATACACAGTCACTGGTCCAGCTGTCGTGTAGTAAGCTGTGGTCTTAGTAATGTGAGCCACTGACCATCAGCATCACTGAGGAATTTGTTGGAAATTAATACACATTTAAGTTTGAGAAGCAATGAAAACCATAGAGATTCTAATTCAGAACGTCTGAGGTGAGGCTGGGAATCTGTTCTTAGCTTCCTGTTGTAACTCAGGTTATTACCTGAAAGTTACTGAGAGGATTAAATAAAGACACTTAGGTAGAGTGTACTGTACCGTATAAACATCATTACTCATTTATCTGTTACGTTAACTGACGTTTACTGAGTACCTATGATGTTCCACGTGCTGTATTGAGATACATGAAAGAGCTGATGTGGATGACGCACAGGGCTGAAATCAGTCCTGGAAATGACTACTTTTCAGCTTATAAAGGCTTTCCCAAAATTATTCATTTGCTTGTCTAATACGTATTACAGAAAATTTTACATAAAATAATACGTATCACAGAAAATTTTACATAAAATAACTTCAAAGAAATGATTTTTAAAAATTCATAAAATGCGAATTAAATGTTTATTATGTACCCAAATCTGTATTTAACTTAGTGGAATTTTTTTTTTTCTTTTGCGGATGATTAGCTCTGAGCTAACATCCACCACCAATCTTCTTCTTTTTGCAGAGGAAAGTTGGCCCTGAGCTAACATTCTTGCCCATCCTCCTCCACTTTATATGTGGGATGCCTACCCTAGCATGGCTTGATAAGCAGTGGGTAGGTCCACACCCGGGATCCGAATCAGCGAACCCCAGGCCACCAAAGCGGAACCTGCAAACTTAACTGCTGTGCAGGGCTGGACCCTTAGTGGAATTTTTTTAAAAAAAGAATACAACACATTCCCTGCATTTAAGAAATGTATATTCTGATTGATGCTTAAAGAATATTAGTAAAGTAACCAAAGAATAATACCAGAATAAAATTATACAGATGAACTAATTATAAATTTTTTAGTGATGATGTTAATTTTGGAGCAAAGTGGTATTAGGTCTGCGTTTTGAAAACAGATTCTGATATGGAGAATTGTGCGCAGGAAATTTATTAGGAACTGTCTTGGGAACAGCACGTGCGAGGAAATGAGGAAAGCAGGACTGAATAGCAGGACTGAGAGAGAGATCAAAGTGACATGCATCTGTACCAGATAACTCATCTCACCCCACAGGGAACTCTGACATTGGAATAGTCCTTCAAAGATGTTCCCAACTGAGGCCACCAGGCCAGGCCTCTGTACCTCTGCATCAACCAGTACTGAATGTGAGCTGTCCCCAGGAAGAGGGTGTAAATTCAAGTAAAGTAGCTCCCTTTGGCTGAGGGTGGCTCTCAACTTTGAGGCACCAGCAGCCAGCACTCAAGGCGAGTGAGTTCTTCGATTCTGAACAGTGGAATCTGAACAGTGAATCATATTTATTAGCAAAGCACTGGTCTGTTAAACATACTCAGTGGTTCTCTCAACCTAGCTTTCAGGCTGTCTCTTACATAGACCCATTCTACATTTCAAGACTTATCTTTTGCCATTCTCTGGGCAAAATCTTTTCCCCTAGCTAAATTGGCAAGCGAAGGTCTTCCTGGAACACATCTCAGACCCTCTCATGCTATGCTTTTGTTCTCCTCTGACCACTTGCCTAAAATTTCCTGGTCTGTTTTTCTTCACTTTTCTTGGTCAACTCATTAGTTTCACAACTGATTTAAGGACCATTTTTCATACGGAAACATCTAAGATAAGGTTCTCAAACTTGAAAGTGCTTATAAATCGCAAGATCTGGGCATCTGCTAAAATGGA